CATGTACTTAAAACCTTGATATACGGACACGACTGTTGGCAATGAACTCGACATTCCCGGGTCCATTTGTTATTTTACAATGAATTTGTTTGGCGTTATGCCAATTTGTTGGACAGCATGTAACATGGCTGCTTTATGTGACATGTACATTTTCTAATATTGTAGATTGACTGCCTAAGTAGTTCCTGATAATCAGATATTTTATTGTGAAAACAAATCAGTCAAGCTTTCAGCAACAGATGAATATGTTGATAAATTTGGACCCGAGCATAATGAATGTTACCAGATAACCAAAAAATAAGTAGAGACAGGGAGTCGACCTATAACCAAAGATAGGGTCCTATTGAGACGATTGACAACTGGAGTAAATGACTGTAATTAATTTCAACATTTCAAAGTCAATCAAATACATCATCACCAATAACCGCCCGAGAGACAGCTCTCAGCTATATCTTGCAGGCGGTTGTAGACAAGATCAAATGCGCCGCCCAACATTTATAAGACAACAGACAGTGTCATCCGTTTCGCTTTGAACAACCAACCCACCCAGACGGAAGGGGTGATCTAATCGGTGTTCAAATAACTGTGTCCGGTCTACCGCGGTGGTTTGATGCGGTGTCAGTGCCGAATGATTTTGTGACAGTTGTGAAAAATTCGAGACTGATGAACAGCGTATATTATTATATCAACTGACTGGAAGATCCGCTAGCTTTTACATTCCTTAGAGAGGCCAAACGGTCCTGTTTTTGGAAATATGTACGAGAAATATGTATACGAAGTATTTGCATAGGAACCGAAATATAATATGTCCGGGAAACATCTGTTGTGTATAAGATGATGATTGTCCCCTGAAATGTTATTACGTTAGATCACGATGGTGAAACATTAAAGTGTTTTATGATATACGAGAGTTGGGATACTGGGTTACACCAAAACCTGCGCTTTAAAATCAGTCACTGACATGAGAAATTAGGTTAAATAGGCAACATAATAACGCATAAATAATTGAATAGAAGGTAATGATGAAAAATTTGAATTAACTTTTAATCTGGACTGATTATACTCAACAGCTTTCCCGTTCACATGCGGTTTCCCAAACATACGATATTGCATGAACATTCTTACCCCTAAAATATTATGAAGCTGAGAACTGATGAGCCTTGTATTACTCGCATTCACACACGGAAGCAATTTAAAGTAGATATAGAAATGAATGAAACTTGAAATTTTACAAACTTTCTGCGTAGGTCCTCGGTAGTTTCTGCGGAGTCTTTTCGCATTGTAGTGTAAGTAACAAAAAAAGAACCTGTCCACATGACATATAATTTATACACAATGTTTTATTCAATTTGAACAAATTTATATTAACAATAACATAAGAAGTCCATGGATAATGCTTTGTTGCACTTCATTGTTTTGTTTTCATTTTTACATTAACACGTCCCATTTAAATTATGGAAACCCATTTGTTCAGAAACCATCCATGCTGTGGTCAGTCTCGTCAAAGGTGTTTACAAAATTCAACATGTTGCTGTCATGGGAAAATACTGTGGAAGAAAAAATGGGGAAAAAATGTTTCGAAAACTCAAAATTTAAGCGATGTTGCCCATGGGCAGGTCAACGGGCGAAAATATTTTCCTTTGCTCAAAACTCATGTTTTTGTTTTGGAAATATATAAAGGTGTTTCTACAAGTATCATGACGCATAATTCAATTCATTTTAACTTAATCCAACTAATTTGTGGAGTTATTAAATATTTCGCCTATGGGCGTTAGTTGCCTCTTAAGATAAGCATAGTCGCCTTTTACGGCAAGCATGGGTTGCTGAAGACCAATCTAACATTATAACCTTGATGCAGTCACATTGCTCATTACAACAATATACTGTTTTACCAGTTATTCCCGATTCATTATATCAATAATCAATTTATTGACACCAAGGAATTAGTTTCCAGGTGGATGCTATGTATAGCCTTTGTCCTTTGGCCCATTCTTCGTGTCGACGGTAGAGTATTATAACATTTACATGTATAGTTGTATTCAGGTGACGTCTCTACGTATATGTAAGGTTGTTCTCTATATGTAATCCACTTTCCTCCTGGCAATCGATTCCCGACATGGGTAAAATGTGTGAAGCCCATTTTTGGTGTCCCCTGCGGTGATATTGCTGGAATATTGCTAAAAGCGGCGTAAAAGCATACTCACTCACTCACTCACTCACTCCTCCTGGCAATGCTGGACATATGGAACATAAGTTTTAGGATTGCAGATATATCGAGTTATCATTGTATTTTAATGCGATTTCAGTATAAGTATTTACTTTCTTACTCACTAAATATTCTATATGAAACGTTTCATATTTATACGCGACAATCGCCAAACATAATGTAGAAGCCAATAAATATAAATAAGATGGACGTGATTTTTCAAAACACTACTCATAATCCACAAAATCACACCGGATACATCATCAAGTACAAATCATGATGTGTTTTAACATTTTCGTCAAGACATAAAAAATTGCTCTCCTTATTACAACCTCCAATTTCAGCTGAACATGGTTCCTTCTTTGGTCAAAAGTTTGTTCCCTCCGAAATGAGCGTGTCACAGATTGCACACGTGTGGTATGAGAGGTGCATACGAGTGACCAGCAGGGTGCACACGGGTTGCGTCAAGCCTTGCGCATGCGTGTAAGGTGAATGAACCTTAAGCAGCAGTGTATGTTGGTTTTTTTTCAAATTTGAAATCGCTTTTTATCCTCTGCCAGTTTCCATTACATGAATTGGACTTGAACTTAAAGACTTTCTGCACAGGTATCATCCTACCCATGAACTGGCTGGTAATGCAGTAAACCATATATTTCAACCATAAGTGTCAAAGTCCAAACCAGAAGTACCAATTACTTCGCTTCAAACTGAGCTGGAACCATGGGCAATTCTGGTTTAATGCGGGGAGAAGGTGTTTTCTGAAACCGGATGTACTAATAATTTTAAGGAGCTAAAAGCATGGGTTTCAGAATACAGTTCAAATGCAGTGAGAAACGTTTTCCGAAATTGGAAGTGACAGAATTCAAACCGGAATTACTATAATAACTTTGTTATATACATAGTTGGAATAAGAAGAAATGAAACCCACCAAGAAAAGTATTCATACACAGAGAAAGGTCCGATAGGTGTCCAGGATCCAATTCCAATTAACAATGTGAAACCACATTCTTGCACTCCAGTTCATTTTACAGTTGAAGAATATATTTAATATCCAACGGAAGATTCATCCAATGGTGGGTATAGACGATTGGTTGACCGAATGTTGACGTGGTAGAAATAGCTTATTAAACGAAGTCCCAAATTCATATGGAGTTATTTCCATGGTATATCGAGTATATTGTTCCAGTCCCGCTCCAGAAGGGCAATTTGTGAGAAGTACAAGCATTAATAAATTTTCATGCAAATGTTATGACGCATATAACAATTCAAAACAATGTTTACGACATACTACATGGATAATGATCTAATGTGTAAAGCACACTTTGGCGTCAAATATTGTGCTTATTTCCCACTGTTGACATCAGGCAGTTAACGTGTCACAAGATGAATGGGTTCCCCGGCTGCCAGCTGTTCACATCTGTACTTAGACAGAAACCTATTGGTAAATGTGTTTGTAATTTAATAGCATTTCCAAGAGACCAACTGAAAACAAGCATATGAAGGATGTCCGCTTTCATTAGTCAGCGGAATGTGGATTCAACAGACCAAATTTAAATACAACGCATGAGTTGGTACTTTAACGTTTATAAGACAAGTGTCATGTCATTTGAAACTTTTGAAACCGTTTTCAATGTGAAAACCAACTTTATATTCTACACAGGTATACTTCACCCTGTTAATCAGTATTGTTGAAATCAACACTCACCAAACTTTGAACTTACTCTACAATCTTCCTTTCTATCACTTCATATCTTCATCTGAACAATTATAAATAGGTTCACAGTATTTCTATGAAATACTTATGAATAAAATATGTTGCTAAATGAGGGAACGGAGACGATTTCGAAGAAAAAGAGTGACAGGAAGAGTAACAATTTTATGCCACGAACATGACTAAGCTGCAAAGGATCCAGTTTAAGATTTGACATCATATGTTGTCAACAGAGTGTCTTAATAAAATGGGATACATAGGCAAAACACGTTGTAGCTTCTGTTCTAATGAAAAAGATGTTGAACATATTTTTGGGGAATGCAACAAAGTGAGCTCCATCTGGCGAGACATGGAAACTTGGATACCTCAGAAAATACAAAGTTTTAAAAGCAGACCCAAAGAAAATGTTCTATTAAGTTATTTATCGAAACAAAACCCAGTTCTTTAAACGTTATCATTATTTTGTCAAAACGAATCATTTCCAGTTTTAGAAATAATAACTATCCACCAACATTTCAATTTTTACAGAAAGAGGTCACTGAATTATTTAAGTAAACAAAGCATACATCCGTCATAAGTTGTGATAGATACAATTTTAATAAGCTTGGTCAAGCTGTCATATTGTATTTCTTTGAATAAACTGTTATGCGAAACCTTGTAAATGCTGTAGAATTTAATTGGAACAAAATCATTTGTTTCTCGGTCAACGTGTTTGTAACATGTGCTTATCGATATAAATTAGCCAGTGTGTAACACATCATATGTTCTTGACAAATTGAAATGATCATTCTTTGTGCGTCAGGAAACTGATGCTTTATCAATTAACAGTAACACCACTGGCCTATATGTCAGTGATTTGAGATTAACGCTACTGTTTGCAGTATTCAAGTCATGTCATAATATACCAATGCACCGGAGTAACGAAAACGAATCTGGGTGTTATGACGATCCAAAGCATTACCCATGATGCTATCTCTGCGTGCCATTTTTGACGAATGCAAATACCTTTATCAGAGAAAATCCTCCATTTACTCCAATCACACTGAACCTCCTAATGCGTATATATTTCTTTGGTTTTCTCAGATGGATTTTCCTGGGAAAGAAGGGCGACGAGCAACTGAAGTGGTCCCGATTTCGGATTCAGGCGACAACAGCCATTCTAACAGCGATGAGGAGGAAGGAAGTCGGGGAACATGGGGATCTCAGATCGATTATCTGCTGTCTATTATTGGCTATTCTGTTGGCCCTTCAAACCTGTGGCGTTTTCAATACCTCTGCATTGTAAACGGTGGAGGTAACATTAGAATTATTAGCGAATCATAATCATTGACAACCAATGAGATGCCAAAGGATGCCAAAAGGATGTTTATCCAAATCAGATTTCTTTTATGTTAATTAAACGTTTTATATAATCATTATTGCCACTTCTTTGTTGTGTCTAGGCGCATTCGTCATCCCCTACTTCGTGTGTCTGATGCTTTGCGGGCTCCCTGTGTATTTTCTTGAAGCTGCCTTTGGTCAATTTTATGGGAAAAGCGCAGCTCATGTGTGGAGCATATGTCCTTTAATGAAAGGTATGCTTTTATTTTTGGCTGCATGATGCTCTGTTAGACCAAGGAATAACTAACTTGGGTGAAATAATGGTCTTCCAGATAATTATGTTAGTTATGGTGATTATTTTTACATGTATAATAAGCACTGGATACTTATGTCCAGGAAATGAAGATGCTTGTTTACCTGAACAAAAAAACCTAACATATCTGTCTGCAGGTCAAGGTCGTTGATCTTTTAGCATGCTGGATTGTTTTTCTTTTTAGTTAGCATCACTTTTTGATAGTGATTCATAAACATATGCTCATGATACAGTCGGAATCGTAAGTCGACTCTGTTTTTGGCAGATATATATTTCTTATATATATATGGATAGGATTTTATTGCTTTGATGTAGAGCTGTAGTTTTTTTGGGTCACAATTTTGGGGAAATCAAATGTTTACTTTTGGTGATTGATAAAAAAGGTGAAGAGAATTGAACTTGTGTCAGCATTTTTTATCTACACATGTACATCGTACAATTGCTATGATGTATTAGACATCACCTTCTCTGACCCGTAGACGCGGTATAGGGGAACCGCTGCCGTAGTTATTTTCGATGGATCATGTAAATGGATAAATATAGTTATTTTAAGTCAGTTCCGTCAAATATTTTTGGCTACAATTTGTGTTTTGGTCAGATGACCCTATAATGGAAAGATCAAGGAATTTTTATGTTCATGTCAGGTCTTGGAATCGGCATGCTGATTATGTCTGGTGGTTCTACGGTTTACCTTACTGTCAACTGTGCTTGGATGACGTACTACACTGTCACATCCTGCAGCGCTGTCCTTCCCTGGGCAGACTGTGGTCACTCCTGGAATACCGATGCCTGTGTTAGACGTGTTGAAGTGTTGACACAAAGGCCCACTGAACGTATGATATAAGCAATGTGCGGTAACAAAATACATTATTGAAATTATCATCATGTCAAGTCCTGTTACACTATTAGCAATGACAAGAGATTCGGGATATGTGTATGTTCTTACGTACATGAAACACTTCATTGGAAAGTTTGGGAACGGAGTGCACAAGTATGGTCCTTTGGCAAGCGAGAATCCTACGATCGTTGGTGCAATTTCCAGATTAGCCTTTATTACGACCTCTAGTTTGTCAGCACAATGACCATGCCCGTGGGTTTTACAAAAGTTGTAAACATTCTGCATCATTGGGGTCTTCCCTTCCAGTTTAAACTGACACACTGTTGTTTTACTTACATACGATCCGTAAATGCTTGTCTTAAGACTAGATCATTTACAGACCGCTGTATATAGCTGGAATATTGCTGAGTGCGGCGTTAAACAAAAAACAAACATAATATCCGACGTTCAACTCAACCCGCACTCTCACTCACTGGGAAGTAAGTATTGGTTTGATTTGACATAACCAGCACAAACAGTTCATTTCTGAAAGTGACATGATCTATAAATATGAAAGTATGCCTTTTCTTGGATTTGACGTATATCAGTATGTAAAACACAAAGGCTTATACGAAGTTTGAATTTAGAAATGTATAATTCTAACTGATGGTTAGATACTGCAAAACGCACTCAAAACTGATTATCGGTGACACATGCCACTCGGTTAATCCAGTGTTTGTTTATCTTCCTTTCATATCCAGACAACAAGTCATCCCTCCTGCTATACAATGGCACCAGAGAGTTTGGTGAACATCCATGGTTGAGAAATGACTCATTATCGCAGACGGCAGCTGAAGAATTCTGGCAGTATGTATATAAATATACACACATGATATTGGCCTATGATATTGCAACGCGTATGGTGATTTCAATACTAATCTGTGCTTCATGTGTGAATCATTGAGGAATTTAATATACAATAGGTATGCGACAGGTGGAATAACTGATCGATGTTGCCAAGTTGCACGTGTAACCTTTTCTTATGTTTTCCTAAGACACACCTTGACCTGGACATTTGTTTACCATTGTACAAATTAATGTATCCCTGTGCAAACTGTAGATACAGCAAGAATGCCTTTTTCGTGTTATGTAGAAACCTCTATAACCTTCTAACCTTATAATCTAATGTTCTGGAACAGGATCAAGTCTTCACATCATGAGGCTTTATTTGTTTCTATTTTATGAAGATTTTCTTCAGGAACATACTGATACTATCTACAACCACGTCCATGATCTTTGATAGGCAGTATCCACATGTTGTGTTCACTGATACAATATCACATACTGTGATATATATTCAGGTACAAGGTCCTTGGCATCAGTTCAGGATTGGATCACTTGGGGAGTATCCAGTGGGAATTGGCCTTGTGTCTCTTAGCTTCCTACATTCTCATATTCTTCTGCATTATGAAGGGGGTAGTGTCCGTCGGAAAGGTAAATAGTAGCTATCCTTAAAATTGAAAAGAAGTTTTTTGGCGCATGTACGCTTTAATTGTAGGGCTGTGATATATAACTGAAGAGTTTCGTAGCCTCAGTCACACAGATAATGCGACCGCGATGCAACCTCCTGGCGACCAAAGTATTTGACAATCGCAATGAGGTTTCAGAGGTCTCTGAAAGGTTTCACTGGGGTCGCTACAAGGTTTCAGAGCGGTTGCAAAACCCATTCGGTCGCAACCAGTCTTTTGAACATGCACAAAAGACTGGCTGCGACCGATTCGTTCACTCTGAGGTTTCATTGGTCTCCTAGAGGTCCCCATGTGGTGATATTTTAATTGCAGATTGGTTACCACTGCGCGGCGATCGGTTTCGTCTACACAAGGGTGTTGACTCTTTGCAACCTACTGGCGACCTATCGGTGATTGATCAGTGATGAGGCGCTGATCCACCGGCGCTTCATTGATGACTGGTTGCAGATCGGTTGCAAAATGGTCTCCAAGCGTGCGTCGATTATTCGCCATTGGGTTTGCAACACGTCACTGTCTATGAAAAGACCTGTCTGTGCATTACAGCATCATTTTGTCATAGGTACTCAGAGAGTTCACATCAATTATTTCCATTCATCACTATGGTCCATGAAGGCAGGAAAACAAAAGAACCAGACATTTTAGAAGATACAATAGAGACAAGACTCAAAGATCTTCTCCAATTAGTGTCTTCTTTGGTCAATCTGGGTGTGAGTTTTTGTACGAGTTCGTGAAATATGACTGGCTCTATTTTGATGTAGCACACGAAATCACCACTTTCTCTCTCCAACTCTGCCATCTGATTCTCATAGTCTCGAAGCTGTGGCCCTCTTGCGATCCAAGTTCTCAGGCAATACTGCCTTCGCCTTGTCCTTCTCATTCTTCTGTACACCACCATAGCAGCAACTGAAGCATTTTGATTTATTCTTTGCAGGTGGAGCAACTGCAACTTTTCTGCTGTTAACATCTTGACAACTTGAAGAGAAATGATTTGATTCAGAAAAGCATTTTTTTTGTATGCATTATGTTTTGTTTGGTGATCGATTGACAACAAGTCACCGACCAGTCCCCATTCAGTTGCAAGAAGTCACCGAAGATTCGCTGACTAGTCACCGATCAGTCTCAACCTGTTGCAAACATCTACGGTGAACAGTTGCCAATCAATCACTGACAAGTTGCAAAACCTATCGTTTTCGCATTGTTTGTGTGACTGTAGCACAGACCAAATCGACCAATTCTAATACGAGTGAGGGGGCACGGGTAGCCCAGTCATCTAAGGCGCCGCGATTCGCTGTGCAGAGTTGCGTCCCTTGGGCACGCCAGAAACCTATGATTGTGGGTTTGAATCCCGGTTCGCCCCTATTATGTTTCTAGGTTTGACCATACCCGTGCTTGTGGGTTTCACCTTGGTAAACGTCTGAGAATTGCATCACTTCGGCCTTTCCTCCCACATTAAGCTGACACGCCGTGATATAACTGGAATACTGTTAAAAGCGGCGTTAAACCAAACACTCACTCACTCTAATACTGTGGAGCTATACTGATTCCTTTCCCTATCCCTTTGATGAGAAAATAACAGGGGAAACGGCAGCTGGGTCTATAACATGGCATTCACGGGAATGTAGCCAACATAAAATTATTTTAGTATGAAAATCAGGAAACGTAACCACCGTATGCATATTTTTTCCATGCATTTAAGGATTAAATGTGTGTGTGTGTGTGTGTGTGTGTGTGTGTGTGTGTGTGTGTGTGTGATATCCCCGCGTAAACGATAGACCATGGAGACGATCTGAGAGTCATGTCAGGGATGAGGTGTGTAAAATAGATGTCATATCACTGTATCACATATATACGAACATTTCCACTGTTTTCTCTCAGGTAGTTTACGTGACGGCGACACTGCCATACATTTTCCTCACCGTCCTGCTTATCCGTGGTTTAACCTTACCTGGAGGACTTAAAGGCGCTCTGTTTTTCATCAACCCAGATTTCAGCAAATTACTGCAGATACAGGTGAATAAATAATAATGTGATGGCTTGGAAATGTTTATCCTTTATCTATATCTTTATAATAATTATTAAATTGGGAACTGACATCATTTCTCGCTCATGTGTAAATAACAATTCTTTGGGAAACCTGAAAACTGTTGTTCCTTTAAACAACTCATACTAATATTGATACAATCTCAGTATAACAGATCTAAGGGTTCGCTACCGCTACACAAAGAACTAATCAATCAGGACATCCCATTTGAGGTCACGTGAGAACGTCCTTTCGCAAATTCTGACCGATCAAAACTGCACACACAAGTCGACATTAGCCAATCAGAAAGCAGCTTTCTCAAGGTTTACGGCACCAGTTTCAAACTAGTCCAGACAACACTGAAAAATTCAAAATTTGAAAACTGAAGAAAAGAACATTTTTTAATGCCTGACAGATTAGCCGAGATTGTATGGCAGTACTTCCCAAGGGCTATGGAAAGTCGGTTCCGTCTCAAATGTTTATCCCATTGAAGCGAGAGGTAGATGATGAATTTGACAGAATCAGTTGTACAGCCTTTTACTGTCGTTCGGAATACCCCGTGTCCACCTTTTCGAGGTTGCATGATTAGAAAACACATTCTGACTGTCACTTTATCAATCTAGTATGCAATGCTCTGATTGGGCGGATGAAAAGTCGTTCTGTCGTGAACCGTAATGGGATGTCCTCAGATCTTTGTTTAGCGATAGCGAGAACTGTTACGAGTCTAGCTCAAATTAAAACAATGAGTTAACCCAGAATTCTATGCATAAAAGAATTCAGCGTGAAACTAACCAAAAAAAAAAAAATGTTATGCAATTAACAATTGTATCATAAAATAAATAGATTTACAAATTACTGCAAAGTAGTTACAGTGGCAGTACATGATAGAGTGGCAATACAAAAGTCAATGGCAGAACAACTACAAGGGCAGTATAACATACAATATCAGTGGTACTAGCATTAAATAATATTCGCCATGCAGCAACAGTGGAATCTCAAGGTCTCGCATTTCGGTAAACCTAAACTTACCCCTCAATCGCGATCTAAAATTACCTGCCCTTGATTTTCATTACTATTTTATGGACCAATCAAACGAGATAAGGAAAAGGAAAATGGGTAAGGGAGATAACTCGTTTTGTCTAGAAACGAAAGGCACTGCCAGTATAAAGGTCATGAAGACATCCCTAACCTTTAAAAGAATTTTGAGGGCTTTCTTTAGCGTCTCTGTCAGTTTTTCAAAATTTTGAATTTCTCGCAATCTCTTTCGTAATCAATGGGGCTGGCTGTCATGTTGTTGATATCGAAAAATGTTGATTGATTCATTAGACTAAGCGTAGCATAGCCAATCAAATTTGCTGACGGGAATCAAGGGCGGGTTATCTAAGATTGAGATAACTACGGGAATGGATCCAGGGGCTAGTGTAGGTTTACCGAAATGCGAGCCCCGGAGCTATAGAGGATGCAACAGTGGTCAAGCTGACAAAATATACCTAGGCTGCATATTCAGGGTGAAAACGTGATCATCACACAACCGCTGGTCTTGTTGTAATGTGAGTCGAGTGAGGCAGCTCTTTCTCCCCTTATATAATCAAAATACCTTCTGGAAGGTTCTATGCTGTCCTAAGTCTAGCTGTGCGAGATGATTCCAGATTACAATCGACTCCAACAGCATGTAGATATAGTAATTTCCACACCACTGCTTATATTAGATAGCACTACATTCCTGACAACTTACCATTGTCAAAACATAAAGACTGGAATGTAATCTCAACAGAAACAAATATAATACAATAACAACATTATGTAACAATAAATTACACTGCCATATATACATAACTAAGATCTGATTTTAATGAGACTGAAATTCGATATGATTTTGAGAATGTCTGAATTCCCACCAACTGTTGTAGGTGTGGTTGGAAGCCTGTGTGCAGGTGTTCTATTCACTCGGCCCGGCGTGGGGAGGCATTATATCACTGGCGAGCTTCAACCCATTTCATGCTAACTGTCTCAGGTGATACATTTCTTTATCAAATCTCTTTTAACAGTTATCATATGAGTGTCATAACTTTATATGGATACAAAGTTACAGCTGCAAGAACAAATGTCGGGGAGAAACCGATACCTGTTCTCGTATTTGTTCATTATGTACAGATAAGTACTGTCACGAGTCCTCTATCAGTCACGAGCAGTACCCCATTTATTCACTTGTTCCCATACTCGAGTCCCATGAAATAAGCTGCCAACCCCCTTTTGGCAAGCAGTCTATTTAGAGGGTGTTAATTTCATGTTTTTTCGATATTTCTACAGTAATTTCACGTCCACTCCCACCCTTTCCTCAATGCTTTTGAGATTTGCGTGAAGTAGTATTCGGGATTTTATTTATAATATTGTGTATTATTGTACAACATGTAACCAAATGACAAATCCCCTTAGATCAGTGCTTTGGGCAATTCACTCGATCATATAGACAGCAAATATTAATTTGTCAATGCAAGAGAATAACCAGTCTAGATTATCCGTTGAAACAGACTCCATTTGGCGTTGAGGGCAAAATTATATGAATGACTACTAAAAATCAGTGATGACACCAGGTGTTTGCGAAAAGAGTAATCACATGGCATCCACAAAGTTCTCAACAGCTAAAGAACATATGATATCAAGTGATATTAACTTCATTTGCAATCTCTCCTTTAATGGATCGTTTGAATAAGCCTTTCAATCAGCTTAGCTGATATGACGCCTTTATTAGTTACAGTTTAAAGTAAATCTATTTCCATCAAATCATTGTGTTTGAGGGTATATATATGATGTGATATTTGCTGCTGTTGTTGGCTGTTGAATATTCACCTTGTATTTGAAGGAATTCAATCATCTGTACTTTGGTTTGTGGAGGAACAAGCATATTTGCAGGTGTGGTGACATTCTCCGTTCTAGGATTTATTTCTAATAAAGCTGATGTTCCCATCACAGATGTCTTATCCTCGGGTATGTGTTTATTTCTGTTGATTTAAAAATGAATTTTACAAGAAAAATACCTTACCGTTACCTTAATTATGAACGCTGTATTAAAACTTTACTTTTATGCAGAATAATTTGATTTCGAAATTAATGTGAACCACCGGGAGAAAAGGGACCTTTTGGGTGCTCCGACGTCATAAAGAAAGACGTTTGACGTCAACTTACTTCCGTATAAATCGCCATGTGTGCGAAGAGTACAAATACAGCTTATTTGTAGTTTGTAACGTAATAAAATCATTATTTCAAAGAGTATTCGGCATACATGTCTACTTTCAATTAATCAGACATTATATCTAAAAACTGCAATCATTACACAAAGAGTTATACGTCTGAAATGGGACTTTGCAGAAAATTAGTCCAAATGTTTGACGCCATCCATCTCTGCAATTAATATGAATTGAAACTTATGAAGTTTGTATTTGTGGCCATAGGATACTGGAAGTTTAGCATCTAATGAGAAGTCAAAATGTGATGTTTCACTCACAAGGTCACTTATTTGATTGTTGGTCACATTTGATGATTGTTACCATCCACTTGACTGTCCCAAACAAAATGTTGATTCACTTTCTAGGCCCAGGACTTGGTTTTGTTATTTACCCAGAAGCCTTGGCTCAGCTTCCGCTTCCTCAGCTGTGGAGTCTCATGTTCTTCATTTTGCTTTTTGTCTTGTCACTGGATTCGCTGGTGAGAAAATAAATGACAGGAAGGATGAAACAACAATATATTAAATTCATCATATTATAAAAAAAACACATCTACGGCATACATACGTACATAAAACAAACACGAATATATAAATCTGGGTAGGTTGCAGTATTTGGGTCCATACACCGGAAGTTTCTTTTCGGATGTTAAACTCATAGAACACTGTTCATAAGACTGTTTGGCGAGTTCCACGATATGTTCTTGGCATTAACTTTGAACATGGTCATTCTAAGTGTACTGAAAACGATTAAGTTGTTCAAAAGCTGAATGTGATCTGTCGTTATAATATCTGTGAATTTATCCTCATGCAAAATAAAATAATGTCTGACAATGAACTGTGGAAAAGAAAAAGTAACAAACATGATGTTTTATGTTTGATATCGCCCAATAGTTTGGAATGGTGGAAACTGTAATATCGGCCATCATGGATGAATACCCTTTTCTGCTGAAGTGGAGAATGTCTGTCAATGCTGTGTATTGTGCCGTATCCTTCCTGCTCGGGCTCATATTCATCACTGAGGTTTGAAACAAGACCTTTGTGTTACCTTTTTTTGTTTCACTGTGAAGTTATTTGCATTTATAAGATAAAAGATATTCTCCCCATGAATAACTTGAATAATCGTCTCACATAAATAAATCATGAAATTCTGTGTATAAATGTTTTTTTCATGTCATATGCATATACTCTAAAAAGGGTTCTTGAACAAGGTTTAACCTAATCATTTTTCAGGGCGGAATGTACGTTTTCCAACTGTTTGACTGGTACTTTGGGGCCATGTTCCTCATCTTTGCCGGTTTCTTTGAGTGCATAATTCTGGCATGGGTCTATGGTAAGACTCTGATGGATGTGGGTTTGGTCCAAAACACATAGATGATAGTTTGGCACAATATGCATAAAATGTGCAAAATGTTATGATGTTTAAAACAAATAAACATGTTTATATGTTACTGCATTTGGAATTTTTTTGTAGATAATTAATGCAAATACTACTTGTAAGCATGGAGAGGGCTTAAGTGGCTATTCTAGTCTTTTGTTTGACAAATGCATACTTGTAATGTAATTTACTCCAAAGCCATTTCCCAGCCCTTTAAATTAAATTTTACTTTACATAGTATTCCTTACAGAAAAATGTGCATTCCTTGTATTTTCATTTCAGGAGTAAATCGTGTCAGTGCCGACATTGAACTGATGATAGGGAGACCAGTCCCATTTTTCTTCAGAATCTCTTGGTGTTACATCACACCTGCTATGCTTTTGGTGAGGTTCAGTTACTAAATAATCACTCATAATATCTTCCGGAAGTATTGTTATGGACTGTTACATAGATTGAAGGTAATTTCATTTTTTGTCATTCTTATCGTATCATGATATATTAATATTTTGAAGAGAATTTCCTCATACATCATTCTTATCGTATCAAGATACATTAATACATGTAGCAGACTTTGTATAATGCATGACGTATGGCGTGTTGAAGTAGTCTTCACTGGTAACTCAGAGAATACAACATACATTTATGTATTTATCACCATCAGAGACAATGGTATTTCAGTTTGATTGTTTCAAGGGCACTGCCTCGACTTGTTTTAGCCTGGTTGCATTTAGTGATGACCAAGCATTTGTCTGGATATTCTTGATATTTGTTTAAAAATACAACCATTTTATGATATAAGGATGTGAACCGTCAGCTACTATATACGTGTATGTGTTTACAGAGGCATGTAAGGGATGGATTTCAATTTGATATCAAGGTTATATAAATGCTATTGACGGTTGAACAAAAAAGTTGTTGCTAATGGGGAGTCATAGCATAGCTCAAAAGTAGCTTATTGGTCCGAATTGAACATGTTAAATAATGTACTTCATATATTGGAGATAAGATGGCGAAAAAGTAACATTTCTGTTACGTGCCGATTCCCAAATTGAAACAATATGTTAAACCAGAAATCTGTACGTAAAGGAACGTAGTGTGAAACCAGCAAACAATGAACAAATAGTATACAAAATTAACTAGGTTTACAAATGAAGACCAATTACTGCTGACTGGTGATTATCAGAGTAAAAGTAGAACTGATGGTTATGAGCAATGGAAATATAGACGGCAGAGAGTTATTTAGCAATGATTGGTAATTTGCGATGGACAAATGGAAGTCAGCTGGGTTTAATAAGGCTTAAAGGGAGGGGAGGGGGAAGATAATGCGTCAGATAGATGGTGACAGAGTAATTAACCAATAAGTCCCAAGCACTAGGCAGATATGTTTCCTGGTCACGGTTCGTGGCTGGATGGTATCTGCTGATGCCAATGGCCTTTTGTAGTTTTCTTTGACGCCAGTTGTTTTTGATGGTGGACAAGGCCTTGGTAGCTTCCAGCATGATGGTATGGACTGGGTTCATGATGACGTGTTCCAAAATCCCAAGATAAAACAAGCCATCATCGCCACCCTCACCAGACGTGCCAAATCCATTTGCCATCCTGATGGCCCCAGCAGTGAATTGAACCAACTCAAGCAAACCTTCACTTCCCTAACTGTTGGCTTCTCGCTAATGTTTCCACTTTGTTATCTTATCACTTTTGTCGTTTTAACATGTACATTTATATGCTCTCTGCATCTTGGCATTCATTCACCTGATGAAAGAGGAAGCATTTACCCCGAAATGATAGAGAAGCTGACATCCACAAATTCTCTCTCTTATGTGTATCACTTCTAAATGCCAATCAAAGGTTTAATATTTACTTTGTCGTTTCAGATAATATTCATCTCCACCCTGGTCCAGTACCAGCCTCCAACATATGGCACATATGTTTATCCCAACTACTCTGCTTCTATTGGATGGTGTCTGGCATCCATTCCATGCATTCCAGTGTTCCTAATGATGTTTATTGCTATCTACTCGGAGGAAGGGACCATAATTCAGGTACTTCCTTTTATGCACATTCTTAATTAGGATTTGATGTTCAACTTAGTATTCTTTGCAGTCATGTAAAGTTAATGACGGGAAATGATGTAAATTCATTTGGGGAAAAGGTTTCAGAAAATATACTTGTTTGCACAAAAGGGCGGGGTTAGATAACGCATGGCATCCTAGAACCTATCCACACTATGACATGGAACTGCAGAATTCTTGACGACACCAAGAAGAATATCCAAATATTTTGATCCAAAAAAGTGCCGCCTAGCAAGCATCTACATGACAGCTAATGTGGCTATCCTAGCGGCCTGTATTCAGTTGAGTGTGGTCAGGAAAGTAGTAGCAAAGGGTTATGAGTACACACTCAGTACATGTATAAATTTTGACCTCCCGATAACCATTTAAAGAGGGTTCAGTGACAAACTTGAGTTACTGCAAACATATCCTACTCAGGAATTCCCCCCAGAGGTGTTTATAAATGAGTCGTCACAAGTAGGAAATATAAACAGTGGAAAATTGCTGATATATTTTTACAGCACAAAGTAAGTATTTAATATGACCCTAAAATTTCCTGGATTACAGCCTCGTGAGACTTCGTTTAATTTAGTGTTAATCTATTATGTTCAAGGTAGTATCTTATGCTTGTACTTTACAGAGATTCAAGAAATCACTGAAACCGAACAGTTCCTGGGGCCCTGCCGAATTGATGTTCAGTGAATCAAACGTCAACCGACACAGAAACATGTCTGCTGGAGACAACTTAGTTTCAATGACATCTTGTTAACAGCAGTGTCCTGATTAAGGTTTTCGAATGTACAACTTTTAGTATAAAATTTAACCTTTTGATGATATTTGTATGAAATATTTTACTTTTCAAATTACGATATGTGTGCATTCGACAATGCATGCATGCACATGTATGACTTGTTCCATTTGTGATAGGTGTTGAGGAATATTATCAAGAATAAAAGTCAGTCAATTAGTTCTGAGACAGTTCCCGTTTAAATTACATTTGGGGAAACTGAAATAAAACATTCCAATTGGTAGATACCACGAGATGTATCGCATGTTGTTTGGAACATTACGCCCTTTTCATTCACCCTCGATGCAGATAATGAACAGGTGTTTGTGTTTAGAATACATTAAGCGATAAAACCATTTCTGTATTCATATGAAATCACTTCTAAAAGCAGAGTCCATTGTATTATTCCGACTATATTATGAGCATATGTTGTGCTTATGGATCATTATGAAATGGTGATGGTACCAGGTGTTCGCGAAAATTGGAGCGTATTCCGCCAACCGGTACTCAACCAACATCACAAGGTTTGTCACATATGGTGGAATGCTTTCTTCGTGGTCCCAGCCAGCTGTCATCCAAAGTCTAGCTGCCCTACATAAATAGATTGTAGTTGCCACTTGCAAGGAATCAAATAACATAACCATTATATGCAAGCATCACTACATTAAGTGTGTGACATATCAAATAAATGCCACATACATATATATATATATATATGGCCTTATTGCAAAATGAGGAAGAATCCTGCCGAAAAACACCAGAACCAGAAGACTATATACCAAAGTTCCATAAACACCCGTACAAAGAGAGGTATTTTGTAGGGTCAAGGGAAATGTACCACCAAATCCCTCTATTAAAGATAAACAATAATGCTCAAGACTGTCATGGGAGGACTTTCTATGTATTCCCAGAACGTACTGAGACAAGTCGATTCTCAAAAAGCTCAAAGGATTAACTTTTATTTTTGCAAACTCAGAAATTCTGTCAAAACATTTAATTTTTCCACTCTATACACCACTATAACACAAGACAAACAAAATATAAAACATTTTATTATTTGACATAGGAATTTACTGCGATAGAACGATGTCATGAAGTTCCCCATTTCCTTGTTTGACATTGTCAGCCAAGCAAAGCGTCTGTCGTTATTCCTGTTTCTCAGCTTTCATTGTCAGCTCTCGAGTGTCAGATACTGTCCGGAGTTTGACGCGGTTCTCAGCGGAAGTGCTGTATTTTACCGTTCTACGCATGTAGATTGTTGAATACCTTCCTCGCAGTCAAATATAACCAACAAATATACAGACTAATATGTAAGTAATAAACTATTAACAACGTGTTAAATGTTGTATGTCGCCATTCTGCCGATTTTTAGGTACGTCTCGCCCTTCGCGGTAATGTACATCTAGTGGGAGCCAGCCCCAAAGGGGTCACGGTCAGCTTCTGCTCTCTTCAGTTTAGTTGTCATGCGGCACGAGGCAGGTTTCAATAGCAGCGATACAGTTTTCTTTTGTACTTTAAGGACCCCATGGGCCCAACCATATGGTCTACCCTCAATGAATGATAATAATTATTATTTTAAAAATATTGTTTTCCTAAAATGTTTCTTGACAAATACCAAAGAATGTTTGAATTCTGCTGTTGATATGTGTAAGTTTCAGAAATAAAGCAGGGTAGCAAACAGCACCTTTCCAGAAATTTGCTGATATAGGTATAGAGTATAACTAAAATACTTAAAAGTTCTCTTTTCGAAATTACGCTTATAACCAAAAGGAGTCGTGGAAACTGAAAAAATATAAACATCAAATATACCTAATAGCGAACGGCACCACTCCTATACTACACTGAGACATGGAGACACCACCCATGCATGGCTAGACAACCTAGGCATAGTGAAGCCCCCAAATTCAGATGACCCGGGTTGTAATCATAACAATAGGGGCTGGACAAGGAGGAAAACCCCAACATGGGACCGGGTTTCAGTTGCATTTGACAAATAAATCAAATGAATAGTGAGATAAAACAGAACAATGAGATGTGATTCTTGAGTTAACTTGTGCTCGGTTTCTGGACTTATATACGTGAACTATTCCACTAGGGTCCAGTTCATGGTAAACAAAAGGCTCAGAGCACAAACAAAACTTTAGAGTTCATTGCCACCGCATTGATCCAAACTACGAGCCGGAAAATGAGTGCATTAGCCACCTGCACCCCCAAACTGGCTTCCAAAATACTGAAATATAAAGGAGTAAAGAAACTGTTCCAAAATAGGGTATGCCCTAAAACGCAATAAGCGCTCACCTAAACAATCATGGCCTTGCTTTTATTACAGTGGAACGCAAATGGCCTTAAGAGGCACGGTAACGAACTAAATGCACTCGTAAAAAAAACCAGGTGATAAAGCCACATGTCATTCTAATACAAGAGACTAATCTCAGCAAAAAAATCCACATTCACACTACCGTGGCACACCCAATACAGAAAAAAACAGAAAACGACTTATACCTGGCAACAAGGGAGGAGGACTAATCAACTTTTTTCCACGACAGTTTTACCTCCAAAAATATCGAATACTTGAAACATTGAAACCCAAATTTCAATGTCAAATGGCAATGACTTACGCACAGCTAACGTATATCACAGGGTTACCATTGAAATAGAGACGGAAGAGCTAAGGAGACTAGCTCAAATAGTCGGCAAAAGTGGGATAATCCTTGGTGACTTTAATTACAACCGTCCTTTATGGTAGTCACACACGTTACAACTATGTTCACAACACATGGAGTTCAATTGACCTCACAACTGCCACCAACAACCTCGCATCACATTGCCAATGGCAAGTTCACGATGACGCTTGGGAAAGCGAATACCTTCCTATACTCACTTACATAGGTAGCCCACCATAAGCAGAGGAACAGCCCAATCCTCAGCCCACATGGGACTATGCAGAGGCAGATCGCCATAAATTCAGAGAGGAATGAATATCATTCAAAATGCAAGCTGGTAAATGAGGAGTGTCCTTAAAGATAAAGGATATGGCATCTCTAATGATTGCCTTTGAATCAGAGGCAATTACTAAAATGCAGAACAGATGAACCAAACACACGGTTCTACTATACAGGGGGGAAATTAGTGAGGGAAACCAAAGAGGGGAGAGATGCTAGAAAAGATGAAGCGGCACAGGCAAGCATATCTGGAGGCACAGAGGGAGGAAAGACAACAGGATGGATGGGGACGTAAGGATGAGAGACGGGATACGCACTCGAGGTCTCAGAAGCCAGCAGTAGGGAGAGAGAGATAAGGGTGTGGCCAGGGCCTATACACTGATTTTACTGCTCATCAACTGAACCCATCAACTGAGAGAAGCGTCAGTAACAATAGCTTCATTGACTTTCTCTTCTGGAATGTCCCAAGCATCGAATATAAGTTAACAAAAAATGAATTTGTCAACTATGTGAACAAATTTCTGTGATTGGTGTCACCGAAACTTGGTTGGATAATGTAGACAATGTGAAGGTCACTTACACAGACTTTACCCCTCATAGTAAAGATGCTGATAGACTGTCTAAGATAGGCAGACTGTCAGCTGGGATAATAGTACTTGTAAAGAAGCAACTACAGCAATATATTAAATTGTGTAAAATAACGGAAAATTATATATATTCATTGTGCAAAATGGGGCAAGCGTAATAGATTATATGATTGCATCTGCAGCAGTTTGAGCTTGCCAATGACTTTTCTATCCAATCACGTGCAGAGTCACCTCATCCTCCGCTCACCCTGAAGCTAAAAGCTTGTGAAGCCTGCGAACATGTAAGTAACACTGGTATCAATCAAAATTCATTTAGATTTAAATGTAACTCTAAAAAGTTAGAATTATTTAGGGAAAATATGCTGTGCGATCATATACAAGAATTACTTGATAAATCTGTTGATATCATGTTTAATGATATTGATAGAAGTATAGAGTGTATTACAGATGCATTATGTGTCGCGGCAAATGACATGAAGAAGCCAGCTGGAAGAAGTAAATACAATAATGAATGGTTTGACACTGAATGTGAACTGTTGAAACCTAAAAGATGTAGAACATTGAATAGGTTTAGAAAATATGAGGATAGTCACAGGATGAAGGATTACAACTACATAAGAAACAAATATAATGCTGGATGCAGGCAAAAAAGGAATGAACATTTTGAACACAAAAAACAATATATGGAGAATAACATTAAGAACCCAAAGAATGTCTGGTCTTTGATTAAAAGTTTGAAATGTAATTAAGTATTATCTTCAAAACACTATTAAGATAGCTGACTTTTTTTGCACATTTTAGGAATTTGTTTGCTGGTGAGCAAACATCAAATGTGCCGGACGACTTTCCGAGTATCTTACAAGATGACTGTACCTATGATGATGTCACAAAGGTTATTACAGAGGATATTCTCAATATGCCTATAACAAAAGATGAAATATCAAACAGCATCCATCATTTAAAATGTAACAAATCTCCAGGAATAGATGACACCATTTTTGAATTGTTTATACGTAAAGAATAAACTCCGAAAAGGTCTTCAGCAACCCATGCTTGCCGTAAAAGGTGACTATGCTTGTCGTTAAAGGCGACTAACGGGATCGGGTGGTCAGGCTCGCTGACTTGGTTGATGCATGTCATCGATCCCAATTGCGTGGATCGATGCTCGTGATATTATTCACTGGATTGTCTGGTCCAGACTCGATTATTTACAGACCGCCGTCATATAGCTGGAATATTGCTGAGTGCCGCGTTAAACAACAAACCAGCCAACCAACCAACCTAAGACGCGTCAATAGTTGTGCACGGGGTTTGGTCTGAGGCTCGTTACCAGACAATCCAGTGATTAATATCACGAGCATCGATCCACGCAATTGGGATCGATGACATGCATCAACCAAGTCAGCGAGCCTGACCACCCGATCCCGTTAGTCGCCTTCAACGACAAGCATAGTCACCTTTTACGGCAAGCATGGGTTGCTGAAGACCTTTTCTATCCCGGAATCTTCACGGGTCGACGCGTCTTAGGAGTGCATTCTACTTAAACCTAAATTGTCGCGGCTTTAGTTTCATTGGAATGCTACATCCCCTTAAACAACTATTATGCGTTC